TAAAAAGAAAAACTAAATACTACAGAAGGTTAGATGAGGATTTTTTATTATTTTTATTATTTTTCATTATTTTTTATTTTATTTATTTATTTATTTATTTATTTATTTATTTATTCATTTATTCATTCATTCATTCATTCATTCATTCATTCATTCATTCATTGTATTTTGAATTAAAGGGCTCTCCATACAAAACAAGTATAATTATGCGCTTTCACAAATCTTGTTCATCTACTCAACAAGTAGTTATTATCATTATATTCAATCATTATAAACATTGTCTCACCATCACTGTTAAAACATAGTTTAAACAGCCTTTCTGTCAGCGGAGATGGAAGAAACCCAGACAGAAGGTGAAATCTGATCTTCCCATCTCTCTGGTTTACGTCTGTCCATCCTCAGTGGAGGACCTCTCAGTCAGCAGTCGGGTCTCTCCCAGAGGAGACTGTGCGGAGGCTCTCACCTCTTCGTCATCATGGTAATTAGGATGTCTGTTGCTTTTGTGATGCCCAGTCATGATATCATCAGTAAAAATAACTACAACATGCGTGCCTGTCAAAATCAAATGATTCAGAATGTTTTTATGTTGTGCTTTGAACAAGTCGCTGCTTCAAATATTGCAGTTTAATCATTTGTTATGAAAAAAGCATAGTGTAACTATTTTGCAATTGTCTGCAACAATTTAAATCTAATCTAACTATTTTTTGATAGAAAAAACTTTTGTCTGACAAAAGTTGAGTTGTGGGTAGAAAAGGATTTAAAACACTTTTACAATGATCACAATGTAAACTGTGCTGTGGTTAAAAGTCAGCAGCTTCTCTAAAACCCCTTAAATCAATATCACTTGTTTAGAATAGTGCTTCCATCAYGTAAGCTCTCACTAATTAAGCTTAATTGATTAAATTGCAGTGGTTGTGTCCGCTAGAAATGAATTGCCTTCATTCAAAGACATTTTCTTCACTCCTTGGAAGCAATTAAATATTGACCAAGCCAAATTCAGGCTGCATTTGTAATGAAGGCTCAAATATTTCACTGGGAAGCAGACATCAGATCACGCATCRTAATCAACTGTCATCGTTTTACAGCTCTGACATTAGTGACAGAAATCTGATTAAATGAGCACATCAGACAAATTAAATTATGAGAAAAAGTCTTTACTCTTTTCTCTGTATTGCATAAAAATATTTTCAGGAAATCTTGATGCACAAACAGTAACAGGCGGCATTTCTATTGTGCAGCGTTTTGGGTTTGAAACATGGAGAGAAAAACCACASAGCTGAACAGTCAACAGTCAGACTTCTAAAAGTTTGGGTGTTACAGGATGCAATAAAACACAGATGGAAAACCAATGTTGAGCAAAACCAAAGTGCCTGACCTCAGTAAAGTGTGTTAAAAAGGTTTACTTTTGTTGTTAGGGGGTTTTRTGAAGTTCTTGAGGATTGTGGCAAAGATCTGAATATCTAATGAATTTTAGAGTTTATGCTTTGATYGATTTCTGATTTTTGATTCTGGTTGATAATTTACTTATATATATTATCTTTTTAAAATGTTACAAATTAGAGTTATGTTTCATTTGTAGGATAATATCAATGGTTCCAACTCTGATTTACTAAATAGCCATTTAAAAGATTTGCAAGGTAATTTTTTGCTGTTTGATTTGCTCAGAAATTACAAATAAGATAATCCAGCCCTCAACTATCATTATACTAATGTTTATTTTTCTGACTTTAGTGATTAAAATGAAAACAAAGCATTTCTTTTAAAACTTAATTTAATTCCTGATAAATATGTGACCCATCATATCAAAATGAGGATTAAGTCCAATTTGGTCAAAATGAACCAATCACATTTTCAGATTCCTGCTTTAAAAGCTACATTTTGATACTGGATCATTCTGATAGCATGAGCTCATCCAGAGATATGACTTCATTTGGTTACTATAATACATTAAAGTTTGGTCTGAATCCTAATTTTATGTAAACTTATTAGGTAATTTTAATG